TCATGCAAGTGGCCCTCCTCTGGACCCTCTCCATGCTGTCCACATCCCTCTTGAAGTGCGGCGCCCAGAACTGGATGCAGTACTTCAACTGCAGCCTGACCAGTGCTGCATAGAGGGGGAGGATGACCTCTTTGGACCTGCTCGAGATGCATCTGTGGATGCATGACAAGGTACAGTTGGCCTTCCTGACTGCCTCCCCACACTGCCAGCCCATGTTCATCTTGATGTTCAGAAGAGCCTTGTTTCTTGGCTTGTAGAACAGTGGAAGTCCATGCATGCACCATATGACTAGAGGTGAGAAGTGTCTAGAGGGTTTGAACTCTCAACCTTAATAAAGTCATGACCTACTTTTAAGGTCTGGGCACAGGTAGTGTATAATTGTAATGCAACTGTCTATCTATGTTGATATGTTAATTAATAAGGCAGTTATGATAATGTTGCTTGTATTGAGTTGAAATAGTTTGAATTGATTGGTCCTTTTAAGTATTGCCCAGGTTTGAATTTCATAGTTTCATAGTTTCTAGGGTTGGAAGGGACCTGAGTAGATCATCTAGTCCGACCCCCTGCCATGGCAGGAAAGAGTACTGGGGTCAAACGACAATACCCAATTTGATTGGGTATTGTGAAAAGAGCGATGATTGGACCATTGGGTGAGTGACAGGTTGAGTGATTAGAAGGCTATAAATCCTGTCCAGAGTGGATGGCAGGGGCAGGGGCTCGCTCTCACTCTGGCTGGACAGTTCGGGCTCCAGGCGCTCGGGGTGCGGGAGTTCGAGTGCAGGTTCCTTGCTGTGACCTGGTCGTTGGGAAGCTGCAGTTGGGTAAAGTATCACCCTTTCCCTATTTGAGGTGCTGAGTACCTAAGCAGGGAAAAGCTAGAAATCCTCAGGGACTGTCAGACAGTTTCTCCTGCTGACTAGGCCCAGGGTGTTCTTGCTGCCATTTGTGGTTTCTGGGTTGTCTGTGAAGGTGCATAGCAGTTAACTGTGTAGTGACCAAAGATCATTGTAATGTGTAGTTGATTGGTTGTGTGACCAAGGGCATTGGGCGCATTTTATTGTGTTGCAGCTTGGGTGTGACAGGACTATTGCGTCGAGTAGTTGTTGCATGGGTTTTGTTATGTAATACAGCTTATATTGCTCAACCTACCTGTGTTGTAGTGTGTAGCTACTCTTTCTCACTCTGAGTGGGGTTGGGCAGTAGATCAGTGCTCAGGAAAATTAACTTACTTTAATGCCCCGAACCTGACTACCCATGGGTCATAGAGGTTTAACGACCCTCTGGGTTAATTAGTTAATTTGCATCTCGACAGGTGGCCCTTCAGGCTAACAAGTATTATTGTTAAAATGGGAATTTTAAATGGGACCTAGTATACCAAAAAATCCCATGAATTTTACTATGAAACAAATAGAGCTTAGAAACTGAGAAGCACAGGACTGGATGAGACAACCTTTTCCATCAAATCCAGTCTCTCACAAATGCATGCAAGAGTATAATAGATATTCAGTTCAAAGGATTCATAAGATGATCCACAGTCCATCCTTTCCATGTTCACCATAAGGTACAAAACAACTCCCTCCAATACCCTATCAAAATGTCAGAAATATAAGCCCTTTTGTACAAAAGATCAAAAGTCTCAAAAAGTACAGTTCTGCTGCTACTTCTGGTACTATGTCACTTAGGGACAAGTCATCACTTTTATCAGCACAAAATTCACTTAGAGAAAAATGAAGTTATACAGCAACTATATGCCCTCAGCAAAAGCCAGCTGCTTACTTTACCTTATAACTGTAGTGTGCTGAATAGTTCACCCATTTCCTCACGTTGTTCTTGTCTTCTACAGAGATGGACCGAATGGCAGCTTTGGATGCTGAAGTGGTGGGCATGTCAAACTCCACGTCCACATAGCGGACAAAACTGGAAGGCACTTCCCGGTCAGAACCAAGCTCTAGATGGCAGAAAAAGCTGTGGGGATGGCCAGAAGCTGGGAAGAGAGAAAACAAAACTTAAAACTGCTATGAGGACAAAAACAAGATCTAGGAAGTAGCACTTCAAAATACGAAAAACCCAAAACAAACACCTCTTAAAATAAACTAAAGACAAGCTGCAAAGTCTTAGTTGCTACAGTGCAGTCAGAACTTCCCAAAACAAGCTTCTAGGATGACTATCTCCTACTCTAACTCGACGTCAGTGAGTTAAAATGGGATCCAGTGAGAGAACTGGGTTGGCACTTGATAGAATGGAAACAAAAGGGTCAGATGATGAGCATGGGGGAGAGGGAAGGACTGGAAGCTAGTTTCTAGTCTGCTTGTTCACCAGTCTGAAGGTGAAGAGAACCAGGGATGAGCAGAAGGAGTGATAAGAACTGACAAAGAGCTGTTATGCATGGATAGAACGAGGTAGGGAGAATGGGTAGAGTGAGAGAGACAAGGAGCCAACATGGGGGTAGTGGGGAGACCGAGATGGAATGAGCAGACAAGCTGGAGAACTAGGAACTGACATTACCTGGGCAAGAAGGCTGGAGACAAAGAGATGGCTGAATGGGACAAAATAGGTCTATGTCAGGGATTGGCAATGTTTTGGTGAGTTGTGGGGAGGGTGGTAGGCACTTCAAAGGAGTTTAGCTTATGAGCATGAGTCATTTCCAAGTCAGCTGAGACCTGGCTGTCCAGATAAAGCTCCCTGCTGCCAAAATGCTGCAGAAGTCTCCCAACTCCATGGGCCAGGTGACTCCATGAGATGGATCCAGCTGGCAAGCCATATGTTGCTGATCCCTGGATTAGTTGGCAAGGACTGGCTCACCATTCAAGAGCTGATCTCTTTTTCCATTGCAAGATTCTCCGCCTCTGCACTTCCTAGTCTCCTTGCCCAGCCTGTCCAAGTTTGCCTTTCCTGGCTCCTCATTTCATTGGTTTCTACTCTCCCACTAATGGTTCCTGGTGCTAGGCTCCTCACCCAAACTTAAACTCCGTCCATACTTCGCCTTCTTTCCTGTTCCTTGTCCCAGTCTCTTTGCTCAAACAGTCCCAGTTCTTTTTATTGCAATCCAGCTCTGTTTAGATGTGTTTCACTTCTTCTCCATTCCAGTTACTCTAAACTCATTCCTTGTCCAGGTCTTCATGTGCTGCTGCCATCAGCTTCTCTCCTGCCTGATATCAGTGTATCCCTCAATCGTAGACAACTGACTCTCAGTCCTTTTCAAGCATTTTCTCCATCACTTCCAATTCCATGCTTTTCCCTCAAACTCCTAATATCAGTCTCCTTGTCTAACTAGCCTTTACTTCCACACCCTACCTAGCTACCTGTCTTGACTGGTCACCCAACCAATCCTACCACCTCACCTCACCTCACCTCACCCAACTCTGTTTTAGGGTCCCTTCTGCTGTTCTCCCCTTGACTCCCAGTCTTATAGACCAGCTAGAGGTGTTTATCCACTCATCCCAACCTCCGTTTTATTGCACTTCTTGTCTTAATTTATCCTTTCCCTCCATCCCAGTCCAGCTTGTGTCACTCTGCCTTTGAATCAGAGCTTCCCCCTCCATGTTGTCATTAAAAGCAGAGGAGAGAGAGGGTCCTTGCTTTCAGTTCAGTGAGAAGTACAAGATAGACAAACATGGTCTCTGATGTGAAAAGCAAAAAGCACTGCAATCAAAGGGCCTGAGCCTGCTCCCACATACGGAAGGCGGCAGCAAAATTTCCATCGACTTCAGTGGGAACAAGATTGGTTCTTAATCACACTACATTGACCCCATGAACTGCAGATGAACCCTGCAGAATTCAGCTGTTTCACAAATCAAGAGGGCTGTCATTTGCTTTTAAACCAGCTTCAATGGTAGCAACTGGTAAGAAAGCAGGCTAATTTCACTATTCATGCATTGGGCAGATTTGCTGCTGTTGTCTATTTAAACTTGTTGAGCACTTAGCTTATATAAACAAATGGACTGGAAGTACAAAGAGCCCAGGCTTCTGAGTGAGAGTGATTGTGAGTGCTGTACTTGAGGCTGTTAGGCAAGCTCTGTGGGAACCTAATGGACTAGGGCAGGGGTGGGCAATTATTTCAGCTAGAGGGCCACTTAATGAGTTTTGGGAACCTGAGGGCTACATCCATCTTTGTCTCTTTTTTCTTTCCTTGTCTCTCTCTCTTTCCCCCTCTCTCTTCTCCTGCTTGGATTCACAGCTGACACTGCTGTTAGGTTCTGGGTTGGGGCTCTGGGTGGGAGCTTCCACTGTGCTGGGATGGCAGCAGCATCAGCTGCAGATGCCACTAGCAGGTTCTGTGTCAGGGCTTCTGAACCTGCCAGTGTTGTCCACAGTTGATGCTGCTGCCCATCTGCTTTGGTGGAAGCCCCACCTGGGTTCGCAGATGATGCTGCTGCATCAAGGGCTGATGCTGCTGGGCGCAAACAAGCCTGCCTGCCTGCCTGGCACCATGCAGCAGTTGAAGCCACCAGCTGCCCAAGGGGCCAAATCTAATGAGTTGGCAGCCGTCCACTCATGGGCTGAACCAAATCTGTTGGTAGGCCAGTTCCAACCTGCAGGTCATATTTTGCCCACTCCTGGACTAGGGACTTACGATGGTAGCTAGAAACCTAGATTGAGCTGGTTTACATTTGAGCATGCTTGGAAGTCTGTCTAGATGCCTACCACTATTTTCAGCCCATAACAGAGACTCCTTTGCGGTTCTATGGTCACAGCATAAACCACAGGGGTGGGTCATTCTGGATCACTTCTTGTAAGTTATGTACTGAAATTCCCTGTAAGCCCTTCCTAGGACTAATTTTCCCCTCCTACCCCATCTCTTTGTCTTTAGCCTTCTTGTCATTCTCCTCAATGAACTCATTGCTTCTCTTTGGCTCTCATTCTTGATGATAAACTGAACAATATTTGTGGTTCAAAGATTGACTTGAACTGCCATAATTGAAGGGCATCTGGTTCTGAACAGCCTCTGTTTAAAGGGCTAGGGACAGACATTCAAAAAGCCTGAGCCTGAACTGATTCAACCTTTGCAAGTTAGTTTAACCTGGCTAGGCTGAACCGATTTCCAACCATACAGATAATTCCTCTGTACTGAGCAAATTCAGACGCATGCCTGCAGTGGCTGGGGCTAGAAGCCTGGGGGTGCTAGAGCAGCCCTTCCTGTCCTTCCAGAAAGCTGAGGGGAGGATTGCCAGGTCCCAGCAGGAGGCTCTGATTAGGGAGGGGTGTAAATCCCAGCCTGCCTACACCGTCCCAGGCTTTTCCCAGCTTGCTGCTCAAGGGGTGGGAGTGTTGCCAACCCCCAGCCAGCACTGAGGCAAGGTGGGGTGTGCAGTGCATGCTTCTGTTGATGATACAGAGCTTTTCAATCTCCCTCCCTGCTTCTGTATACTGTCGGAAGCAAACTGACAGGCAAACAAGCTGGGGGTGGGGGCTGATAACCGTGTCACCTCTATCTCAGAGTTTATTGCCCTATTAAGAAAATAGGGACATTACCAACTACCTGGTGATTCTGCCTGTTGATTCAGCACAGACCCAGCATGTGCTCTGCTAGCTAATACACAGATACCTTCTCTGCAAGGGAGAGGAGAGTGGAGAATTGCTGCTTAGCAGGGAGTGCTAGGGGTGTGGGGAAAGCAAACAGCTCTCAAATAGCTTTTCCAAGGAAGGACATTAAGCTACCTGTCTGCCTCTGTTCTCTCCCACAGCACAGACTGTAGTCAGCACGTGATCTGAGAGATAGGGGAATGCCTGCTTAGCACAGAGTGGGGAAGACAGGTGGGGAGCAGAAGCCAGGCAGATGCCTGCAGAGACTGCGGAGCTCCAGCAAGGCAGCAGAGGAGAGGGGCCAGCCCTGCTGTGGAGCAGAGAGCCCTGCCCAGCCCAGAGAACATGCCAGGATGTTGGGGGTGTCTGGTTTATCTTAAACCAGCAAGGGGTCTGGGACAGACATTGCATAACACGGTTTGAGCCAAATCAGTTAAGTCTGATACTACATTCAACCAGGCTTATCTCAAACCAGTTTCATCCATTTTCAAACTGGTTTATGTGCACGGAACATCTGTTCTGTTACAAGTTTAAACCAGTTTCTGATCGCTTAAACCGGTTTGTGTGTCATGTCTGTCCCTAGCCAAGATGTTCACAGCCTGGGTTTTAATTCAGTCTGCTGTATAGGTAGGGCTATCAGTCTGCTTGGGCTGGATGCACAGCCAAACTCCTCCAGAGTTCAGGATATCTGGAGCCAAGGTTCTGGTTTAGGATACAACGTTGCTTCATTTGTACAAGGAATCAGCATGTGGACATTTTCTTAGCACTCATTCATTCAGCTGTCTCGAGGGTAAAAACACATGCTAGCATTTTTGTACTGGATCACAGCCAGTTGTGACTGCAATTCCTTACAGCCTGCAAACAAGCTTCCTTTATCAACCAGTGTCAACATATTCATTGCGAGTCAGAGAAGGGCAACAAATAGTTTACCAAGATGCTCTGGGAAGGATTTCAATAGCACACTCAGTGGAATCCAGGCTATATTTGCTTTCTAGGTAAAATCATAGGCTAAAGGACATATATTACTTGGTTTAAACATATGCTTTAGAATCTCTTATCATAAGCAAATGAACAAGGCTCTTGGCTTTAAAACTATGCAGATAGAACTGGTGACAGGCTTCTGTTGTTGGACTGCATGGGTCTTTTCATATTAAAATGTACAAAGACAAAAGCACTGGAGAAGGCAGAGAAACTACAGGAGTCATTCCTAAAAAGATCCATCGATCTGGATATTGCAATCTGTCTGCAGTCTTAGGATTAGCATGCAGGCCATGTCTATACCACCTCCCAGTCAAGCAACAACCCCACCTGCTTACTCCCACTCCGTGTGCACCCATATCCAACAATTAAATACAGAGTTGGCTGAGACAGTCCAAGGCATACACTTCAGTGATACTCTCACACTACCTTGGGAGAATACAAGGCTGCTGTAAAGAAACTGGAGATAGTGTCTCAGATTGGTGCTGGAGTCCAGTCAGAACCCCTCTAAACTGTCAATTCTGCCTAATTGCTAAGCTTGGTTGGATAAGCACATAATTTGTTTCTCAGCAGTGATTGGCAGGGAAGTATTTTAGCAGAAGACCTTCCCCTCCCTCTGTGGAAGTCAGTGAGGATGAGGCTAGAGCTCCCAGGGTTTAAAATGGAAGGGGTTTCTGATATGATATTTTCCATGAAGAGTTCTTGGAAGTGGAGCTGGTTCTACCCGTCTGATCGACCAGAGTCCAGATCTGTTGACATTCAAGGCATATAGCAAAGTAGAGAGGATGAGTACACAGCCAGGACACTGTTATTTTGGAAATTATTTTGGCCACGTCATAAATCAGCTTCATTTGGACAACCCTATGGATAATTTGTATTTGTTTGTTAGATATATTGAGCACTTAGAACCAAGGGACACATGCTGAAAGAAATATAAATTGTCCCTGAAAAGCGGAGTTGGATTCAAACTATGCTTGGCTCCTATCCACCAATACTTTGGGAATCTCTCCCTCTTCTTACCCTGTACACATACTGGCCAAGTCAGTGCTCACCAGACCTTTTCTTTGCCTAAGATCATACTATGACCTGACGGGAGGGGTGTCTGGAGCTAGGACACCTTTCTCTGCAGCAGATGGTCAATTGGCACCCCATGAGTTCTGCACTGTAGCCCTACTATCTAGTGCTCTGTGGAAGAACCCACTAACATCAGGGTCTTTGCCTCTGATTCATTTGCCCCTGTCAAGAGTCTAGGGCTGAATCATAGATAAGAGGAGACAGTGTCAAAGAAATGGAAACTTGGATTAATACTTCACATGAGATGAAAATGGATGAGGCAGTCTGAGCAGGCAACAGAGCATCTGTTCCCAGTCTGCTACTGACATGTTGCAAATCACTTAAACACTGTGGGGCCTTAGTTTTCCCAGCTGTAAAGTCTGTGCAGCACAATGAGGTCCTAGGATGGAGGATACCACAGAAAGATCATTTTTATTAAGCTTCACCCCCCGAGTGCAGTACTGTCCATTTTCAGGGGCAGTCTGATATCATGGATCTTTCCAAGTATGCCACTGCTGATGCAAGACTAGTTTTTCATAATGAAATTTCATCCTGAATCTCAAACTTGAGGCTGTTCTATGGTTACTTTGCTATGTTTGTGCTTTGTGGTGGAGTCCGTAAGGGACTGAATAAAGCAAATGCTGAGAAGCACCCAAGTTAGTCTTTGCCTCCTGTTAAAAGAGACCAGATGTTCTCAGAAAGTACCAGATCTAGTGCAACATTAAACTTTTCCTGTATCTTCCTCTCTGAGGTGCCCACTCACAGAGGCAGATACATTAGCAGCTGGGTTTTTTAAAGAGAATTTATGCAAAGAACTGCATTTGCTTAGCACTGTAAACTGGAAATAAATCTAATTGGTCCAGTTTCATTACTTAAGAGCTTGTATTACAACATGGATGATTTAGGTTGGATACTCGGAAGAATGTTTTGTTTTTTTAAACTCAAACAAATTACCCAGGGAAGTTGTGGAATCTCCTGTCACTGAAAGTTTTTAAGTGCAAGTTAGACAAACATTTTTCTGGTTTAAACCAGGATGATTCTGCCTGGGGCAGGGAGCTGAACCATTTCTATTTTTATGATTCTCAGACATATTTTTGCATATGAATATAACAAAATGGTGTTTCTTTGTGAGGCGTGTTAAATCACTTCAAGGGAGACAACTAATCATTTCATGCAACTGCTGGGAGATTCCTTAGGCCAAAAGGAAAGCATCATGTAAATCCAACATCCCCCAGTTCCCAAAATACACACTTTTCATTTATCTGTTCCAAGACATTACACACTACTCACCTGAGTTTTTGTCAGGCAGTCGGTTTATCCTCCATACAATGGAATTAAATGCATGCTCATATTTGGCAGTTCCCAAAGTTACTCTCATTACTGGCTCAGAACCAGACACACTGGTTGATCCAAAACTGGCACCCTTGTTCACCTTGGCTTTCAAAGATTTCTCCCCCAGGACACTTTCTCTGCGGAAATTTTTTACCCATTCATTTGGCACTGGGTAGCGGATCATCACATTTTCACAGGGGACCTGAGTTAGAGGGTCACGGTTGGAAGAAAACCCAGTGGACATCATCAGCCAGCTCTGGACTTCTACTTCGGCACCATTGATGCTAGTTGCCGTCCTCAGAGTGAAAGGCAAAGTCTTCTCAGCAAATACTGTCCTGAACCTCATTAACTCAAAGCGGCAAGCATCCAAAGGATTAAACAGAATAGCACGGGAACTGTTAAACAGTTCCTCATCCACACATGAATGGAACTGGCAGTTGTACAATTTAATCCACTTACTGGTAGTGGTGGGCATGATATCCTGTCGTGCAACTATTTCATTCCCTTTAATAAAGATATCATTAAGGCCCAGCCTGCATTCTGCCAAGCCAGAAAGAAAGCTGAGGACATATATATGTGTTAGCACACTGTGCTGGAGAATCCTATTGTCTCCTTTGGCCAAGATGCCATGAAACTCATCCTTGACATCAACAGTGATTTCTTCCTCTTGGTAGTTCAATCCCACCATGCTTAGATCCATCGATGAGGCTGGCAGGTTCATCAATGTGTCCTGAACAGCTGAGATAAAGCTAAGGAAATCTACATAATTAGTAGTGCCTAGCTTTATCACTTGCTCCCTTTCTGCCGCATGGGTGATGGACGGCTTAGGCTGATACTTCTTTTTTTCCTTGTAGGTGGTACGGTCTATCCGCATGCTGTGTATCCTTCCATTCTCATCATAGTTCTGGAGCTTGCGCTCTGAAAGTTCATGATTGATCTCAAGTTTGAATTCCCGAAATGGCTTCTCCAGTCCCTTCTCATAAAAAAGTTGTAGGTAACCACTCTCAGTCAGCTTGACAAAGATTGGCCCCCAATGCCGAGATGACATGATGTTCTTTTTCTCTGGTATCCTAAGCATCATTGGCCAGCCATCTTTGGGCTGAGATGGTGCTAAGTTCAAAGAGATGTCATCCAGTTCACTTGGCATCATGGGGTCATCATCAGGTAGAGTGGGGCTGCTCAGGTGATCTGGATCTCCAATTTGGAGCTGCTTGAGCTGCTCAACAGCTTCTGTGTGGGTTATGCTTTTGCTCAACTCATTGAAGCTGATGGTGTCAGGTTCTTGGTGAAGGATAATAAGGGAGTCTCTTTGGCTTTTGCCAAGAACAGCAGGGAGAGAGGAGCTGTGGGAACGCCTGTCTCGTTCCTCAAAAAATGAGCTGAATGGGTTGATAGGTGACGGTTGGACATCCTGCAGAGATTCATCCAGGAAGGGGTTAGTAGCACTCCAGGGCGGTGTTCCACCAACAGAAGGCAGCCTGCTTACGGAAGAAAGATCTAGCTTTTGAATTTTAGAGAGGTCTGCCAAGGTGCTTTTAGGCCGCTCTCTCTTCTTAAAGGATGCAGTGACGTTAAAGTTCACATCTGGAGCCTGTGTTACTGCTGGTGGGGAATCCAGTTTCAAGGGAGAAAGGCTCGGTGGTGAAGCACAGCTGACTTCATTGTCATCAAAAGTCACCCAGCTGGGGAAACGAGCTTTGGCTGGGGTCACAGAATGCCCATTCACAGGAGTGCTGTTCAGCTGCCAGTTGACAGCCTCCATATCTAGCTCTTCATCTTCTTGAAGAGATGAGGAATTATCTGAAAAAGAAAGAGACAGTAAGATAAAAGTGAAATTTCAGTCCTCTGGCCTGAAGTAACTTATTTCTCTAAACAAAGGAACTCTGTGTGCACAGTAGATTGTGCATTCAAAAAGGGCTAAATGTTCAAATGACTTATTTCAAAAGTAAAAGTCTCTGACAAGAATTACTGAAGACCTAATGCCAGCTACCTCCAAGGGGACAGAGAAATACAGAAGCTGAAAAAAGGAGCTAGAGGGAAAAAAATAAGAAGGGCTTACATTTTCTTTTTTCTTAAATAAAACAAAACTCTTAAGTATCTATGATGCTGCAGACATCTGTCCTATATTTTTTCCTTTGTAGATAGATGTCTTCTTCATATATTCCCTCTCTCTTCTTATTCCTTCTATCTTTTCCTCCTCCTTCTGTTCCCTGACCCCATGTACTTTGGGTTGTTGAACCCAGTGGAAAAGAGTGGAAATGGTGGAAAGTCCCTTCCTTACTGCTCCCATTTAATCTCTATATACTTTGGCTGCTTATTCCTGCTAGCATGAAGCACACAAGAGCAACAGTATTTGAAAAGGCATGCATTGCACAGGAGACATTCAACACAGAGGTTATTTGGCTTGATCTGTGAGGAAGTCAGGCAGCTCTATGTTGTTTGTCAAATGCCCCTCAGGAAAGCTGTGATCTAATACTGTAGGACTAGCTAAAGAAAGATGTATTTCAGGCTTCAGTTCTATAAGCTTTCATCATACTCTGTTAGTAAATGCCATTCTTATCATGCAGAAGCCCCTATTATCCTAGTCCTTGGCTCCCCACACAGCTCTATCAATGTACTTGACCCCTAGCCTGCACCATCCTTTGCCATTTCAGTGCCGGATACTTCCTGAGGAGATGCTCCCCAGGATAGTGAATGATGTGGTGTTTTTTAAATGAAAAACATATGTTTCTGAAAGTTTCAAAAGGTGAAGACTTTAATCTCCATTTATTTGGAGTGCAGGATCACAGAAGCAGGATGCTCCAGAAGTGGGCATCCAGCATAAAATTTTAATTTGCTGGTGCACCATAGAGCTTACATCCTCATCAAAATGCAGGTTATAGACTCTGCAATTGGAAAAGTGACTGTGAAACCTGCATATTAGTGCTGTCCAGGTTTGCAGTCCATATAATATTCAAGTCACATCTCTTAGAGCAGCATCGTTGGTTGTAACCATGTTGGTCTAAGGACAGGCAAGGTTCATTGGGTAGATGTGATATCTTTTATTAGAGCAACTAAATAGTTGGGGAAAAAAGTTCTTTGCAAGCTTTTGGGCACAAACATCCTTTGTCAGGCATAGGGAGAATCTGTGCCCAAAAGGGTGAGGGTAAGGCTGTTTGTGCCCCAGAGCTTGCAAATAACCTTTTTCCAACTATTTAGTTGGTCTAATAAAAGATACCACATCTACCCAAAGAACCTTGCTCTTAGATTAGCCCTGCAGACTAGATACCATGTGGGGCTGGTCTACCAGCCTGTCCCTAAATCCAGCTGTGCATTGGCCCAACCCCACGTGCCTGTATCCGGCCATGCACTGGCACGATCTGGATCTGATGCACAGGGCCAGGTTATCCATCCTATGGGGCTCTGCATGGGTCTGGAAATTTGGTAGCAGGGGAATAGCAATTAATGCTGCCACCGCTCCCCCACTACCAAATTTCTGGACCCTTGGAGAGCTCCATGGGCCAGATGACACAGCTCTGTAGGCTGGATCTGGCTCAAGAGCCCATGGTTGAGCACCCCTGTCTTAGAGCACTAACAAAAATGAGCATTTAATTTGCCCTAAATCCCTAGAAGAGCTTGAATTCTGTTCTGCTTCACCTATCATCTATGAAGTCATGGGTGCTCATCAGGATCTGAGGGAATGTCTGTTCACCAGAGCACCCCAAGGGATGACAAGACTGAATGGTCACAAACTCCTCCGTGACTGTTTCAGGCTGGACATAAGGAAGAACTTCTTTACTGTCCGAGTCCCCAAGGTTTGGAATAGACTGCTGCCAGAGGTGGTTCAAGCACCTACTTTGAATGCTTCAAGAGACATTTGGATGTCCATCTTGCCAGGATCCTATGACCCCAGCTGACTTCCTGCCCTTTAGGCAGGGGGCTGGACTCGATGATCTTCCAAGGTCCCTTCCAGCCCGAATGTCTATGAATCTATGAAAGCCAGAGTGATAAATTCTGATTCCAATTGTTGTTTAGTAAAACTGAACTTGGAAACTTGACCTTTAGTTCCAGTTCTGCCATTAACTAAGGGAACCTAGGCAACTCAGATGTGTGGGCTATGATTATCCTTCCAGTATAAAGGGATAATAATACTTACCCAATATTGTAAGATTACTGGGAATTATGTACGAAGCAGAAAGAACAACTACTTTTTCATTTATTAGTTTTTATGTAGTGGTTTTCTTCCTCCCTCCCATAAGTGCTTTCATCTCACATCAAGAGACTGTCCCTGTACCTGATATGCTCAACTAGAACTTGTCTTTAGTTTTATACCCAGAATGTTACTCTTTCGTAATGTCTGTAGCTAGTTCCTGCTCTTAACTTACATATTTGGGAGGGGTACTAGAAGCTGCACAGTCCTGCAATAAGCTTATGTACCCTTATACATATGAGGGAAAGGAATAACCACCACTCAGTCCCTCTGATATAAGCCAGGTGCAAAGTATAAAGTTTGTTTTTTTTAAATGCGAAACAAACTGTACCCAAGGGCCTCATCTACATGAGATGCTTATTGCACAGTAACTCGTTGCAGGGCACAAACTGTGATGTGAGGCTACTGTGCAGTAGTAATGAGTTACTGCACAGTCAGTGTCACCAGGAAGCAGTGCCGGGACGCTACTGCACAATAATGCCAGTTACCATGCACTCATTTAGTACTTGGGTATGCAAGTACTAAATGACTGCATAGTAACAACTGTACAGTCAGCGCCTCATGTAGACATGGCCAAGGAGAAGTGAAACTGCTTCTTTCTGATCCCCAGCTCCACAGTTACCAGAGAAGCCAGCAAGAATAGAGCTCCTTGGAGGCAGAGTAAGAGGAATATAAAGAGGTTTAACTTTTTCTGAGATTCCTGGTTACAGAATTTCTGGTTTCTTTGATGCTAGGTGATATTTACACACAACCAAGATTACTATTCCTTATAAACTTACTTGCTTCTGTTACTCATTTCCCAGCTGAAGTCATAATCCCCTCTTTGTTGCATCAAAGCTATTACACCTTGCTGAAACCAGCGGTGATGCCACAAACAAAGGATTAGAACTTCAGGTAGGTCTAGAAGTGGCAGATGAACAGAGTGTTTCTAAGAAATACAGGCAGGGTTCTCAGGAAAAAGAACACGTCAGAGTTTCCCCAGAGAAGACATAAAAAATAAAGCTTTTTGAGATACAGGGGCCTCAACATGTAGCCATTATGATGAAAGAAAAATTACAAACTCATCCAGGGAGCTCAACAGCAAATAGGTAGAGCCCTTTTCTCCCCAGCACCACCTGGGGTGACAAGGAACAATGGCAATAAGCTGATGGAGAATAGGTTTAGGTTAGAGATCAGAAGGCAAGATTTTACAGTTAGGGTGGCCAGAATCTGGAACCAACTTCCCAGGGAAGTGGTCCTTGCCCCTACCTTGGGCAAATTCAAGAGGAGGTTGGATGATCACCTGTCTGGGGTCTTGTGAACCCAGCATTCATTCCCGCCTGTGGCAGGGGGTCAGGCTAGATGATCTGTTCAGGTCCCTCCTGACCCTAGCTACTATGAAACTATGACACTATACTTATTAGCCTTAACCTTTTGCTTTCCCACTAAAATGAAAATAAATGAAATTATTCCATGTTTCTTGACACATGTGTAGCAATCAAATCATGGTGCCAGGAGGCAATAGGATCTCTTCCGCTCTCTAAAATCAAAAGAAACACTATGTTCAGTTACCAAAGGAGAAAAATGTTGTAGCACCCACTACCAATATTTTAAAGATATAAACATGAGTCAAGGAGATAAATTATTTAGCTTGTTTTTTCAGAGTATGATTATGAGCAGGGGCATACAACTAAGAAAAGAATAATGTTGAACAAACATCAGAAAAAAGGTTCCTAAGAATTAGATGTTGAGCTTTAAGGAGATCTATTCCTTAGGAAATGAGAGAAGCTGCCTTTGAGTCACTTAAAACTGGACAAGAAATAGTGCAGGAAACAATCTTGAAGTGGCTAGAGGATGGGTTATTTGGGATCGAATAATAATCCAGGAATCTGACAATTTTAAAATTCTAAACACTTTTCTACATAGTAAGAGGTGCAGCTTAGAGAGTGTCCTGTTTGCTGAACAGGTAAGTGCATAACTTTTCTCCCCTGCCCCCAGTGGAGTAGATGGGTTTGACTTATGATGCATTTCAATATTTCCACTCTATGAAATAACTCAAGAAAATGATTGCTCAGAAAATGTAGATAATCTCACAGAGAATGACTCCTAACAGGCAAAGAATAGTTCTGCACTAAAAGTAACAAGTAACCAAAATAAAGCAATCTGAGTGATATACTTATTATTTTCTGCAAAGCAAAAAGCTTTTAAAAGCATATCTTTTGTCAGAATTAAAATTCCTTTTAACTTCTTCAGTATCCTTGCCAGATTACATCTCAATAGATTGCCCTGTGTGTCTGCCAAAATATTACCAGATGTATTCAGTCGCAACATTCAGAACATTTCTTGCTGTGCTTCCTAATGCCAGGGAACTGCATGTAGAGGACTTCTCCTGGACCCTGGAATATCCAAATGGAGCTTGCTGCATGGTTGTTCTATCAAAGAGCCTCATATTCTTTCATTGACTCTACCAGTTCCCCCAATACCAGCAGCAAGAGAGTTAAGCATTTTAGTAGCACATCTTGCTGTATCTTAAACCTTTAATAATTCATTACAGAAGAAAAGGGCATTGACTATCTTTATTGCTTCACCTAAAGTTTCTGTGTTTAAAATTCCTTTGGCCTGGATCTTCTTT